ATACAATCGGTTCACAAAATGACATATTATTAGAGAATTTGTTGTATTGTTAGAGAAAAGACCGGAGAAAAGAGTAAAGACGATAGAAACGAGTGTTGCCTTTGAGCTTAAAATGAAAAATTGGTGGAACTGTACCTAAACTTTCCTATTCGTCTTAAATGGGAGAACAACTCTCCTCCCGGAACATAATCCATAACCATATATAGGTTACTATTATCCTATACAATCGGTTCACAAAATGACATATTATTAGAGAATTTGTTGTATTGTTAGAGAAAAGACCGGAGAAAAGAGTAAAGACGATAGAAACGAGTGTTGCCTTTGAGCTTAAAATGAAAAATTGGTGGAACTGTACCTAAACTTTCCTATTCGTCTTAAATGGGAGAACAACTCTCCTCCCGGAACATAATCCATAACCATATATAGGTTACTATTATCCTATGTGTGAGTCAAGCGTTTAGTTTGCAATTAATTCATACATTGTATCATTTAGTCATTAGTTAGTCAACAGCTCTTATTGGCCGTTGAGTTGAGTATAACTTAAATTAAAATAAAATAAGATAAAGCTAATAATAATAATTAAATAAGTAGTGATTATAAGTGTAATAAACGTTAGAGTAGTGTAGACTATGGTATGAATGAGAATCGTATGAATGAAAGTATGATAAATACCTTGAAGTGTGCATCTAGGTGAACCAGGAATGGGAAGTCAACCGCATGTAAAATTCGTTTCTCATTTAAAGTGTGTTCCACTTGTTTTAGTTTCACTACCTATTAATCAGCAAAAAACATCACTCATTAAATAGACATCACTTTGCAAACACTTAAATGACAATTGATTAAAATTTCTATAGAATGCATCAAATCGATGAAACAAATATCAAGTGTATTACAAGTGCTGCAACGATGAATCAATAGCTACTCCAGTGAATGGGTATTACGGTATGATAGCCGTAATGAGTCTTACTTTTTGTTTGTCTAGTATTTTCATAGCGAAGTATTTGCCGGCCTCGTTGTGGCCCTGTTTGCGCTGCACAAGCATTACCCGTCCGAAAGATCCCGTTCCCAAGGTCTTGATGCGCTCGAAGTCGTCCAGCGATGCCGTGTTGGACGACGGAGTGCTCCACTTCTTCTCGAAGTCCTCCTTCGCTTTCTCCAGAAATATCTTAACTGCAAATACAGGCATCACATCAGACATCACATAACAGTTACTGTCAACACCTATTGCTCAATGATAACCCCATTATTATAAATACCACAATATTTTGTGTAATTGTATAGTTTTTTTTCATATCATTATCAGCAATGACTATCAAATGAATGCTATTTTCTACTCAAATATTAGGTTTAAATCCAATCCAAATGTAATCAAATGTTCACTTTGTATATATCGTAACATGTTGTCAATTCATTCAAAAAGTAATTATCAGTTGTAGTCATACTATCGCAACATATTTTCAAATCTAATTCATATTTTAAATAATCAATTAAATAAACAGAGGGAATGGTAGGCACAGGCATGCAGTGCCTATAGACAGAGTGCCTCACTATGGATAACCATTATATTATAATGACATATTTAAAATCATGCTAATTAAATAAAGCACCTAGATATTTAATTTATTTATTTACACTGAAAATCGTGACTATGTTTATACACTTATATAGTTCACCTTGACAATCACATCACTTTGTTCACCCATATAATGACATTAATTGCAATGAATTGATATAAATTGAAATTGTCATTAAAAAGCACTATAAATATTATGGTTTTGTTTTATAATTAGATGACATTGTGCTCTACTATTGGGTATTAGCTTACACACTGTACTGATTCACTGATTGTGTCAGGGCACTTTCTAATTATACCTACAATTCTATTATACAAATCACGGCTAAAGGGGTGTACGTGAGAGGGAGGGCAGGGGTGGTGTAGTGGTGGGTGTAGTGGTCAACAATGACCAGGGTGAGGTGCAATATGTACGTAAATACAGTGAGTACTGTAGTATTGAATGATTGCGAAAAAGTGTTGTCTATTGAAACACTTGTAATCTGTGTCTCCACTCATAAAACAGTTTATTATAGTTTTGTGGTAATAATTGCAGTGAAATAGCGTTGAGATATGAGTAGGAATTTGTAGTAATTAACTCATATTAACTGATATTAACTATTATTAACTGCAATCATAAGTCACACCCAATCAACACCACTAATAGCTGGCAATGCAGTCATTGTAATGAC